ACATACATAAACGGTCAAGTCTGTTAATCATAACTTAACTCTCCATTGTGGATCTCAGCATGGCGTGCAGTCACTGTGCATGGAGTAACCTGATATTTAACACTGAAGATACGAAAATTTTAAGACATGATCCTTATCTTCACGCCCTGACAGTGCAGCAGGGAACCATCTGTCAACAGATCATTGCCATAGTGTGATCTGGGTGCTGATGGACAGATGTAGAGAATGTTGTGGAAGATATATCTGGAATCTGGGACGCCGACCCAGAAGCTCTAGAGCACCCTGAAGCACCTTCTGCTCCTCAAAGATTCAATGGTTTGAAGAGTCAGACTTGGTCACTTGAGGCACTTTATTCTATATTTGAATATCTGTATATGTAGTACATGACATATAATCATTCTCAATTAATCAAGAATATTTGATGATGAGCCACTTCAAATGCCCCTACCCTCCCTATGCTAGAGAACAAAGTCTTTTCTAAATTCATCAGTGAGAAAAACCATTCCACTCACAATAGCATCAAGTATATAAAACCTACAAACTACAAAACATAGCTGAAAGAAATTGAAGATCTAAATGAATGGGGAAACAGTCCATCTTCATGATCTAGAAGATTTAGAATTGTTAAGTTTGGGCCATACTCACCAAATCGACCTACAGATTCAACACAATCCCTACCAAAATCTCAGCTGGCTTTTTGTTTTTTTGAAGAAATTGTCAAACTGATTGCAAAATTCATACAGAAATGCAAAGAACCCAGAACAGCCAAAACAAAACTGTCAATGAAGAACAAAGTTAGAAGACTCACACTTTCCGATTTTAAATTATACTATAAAGCTACAGTAATCTAGACAGTGGAGTACCGCTATAAAGATAGAAACAGAGATCAATAGTACAGAGTCCAAACATAAACCCACATGTTTATGGTTAATTGATTTTCAACAAAGGTGCCAAGACCCTTTAACAAGGAAAGAATAGTCTTTTCTAAATACATCAAGCTGCTAAGAATTCATTGAAAATCTGGTCATAGATCACCTTCAGGGTAGGAACAGAAGTGTTAAGTGAACACTCAAATGATGATGTCTGATTTAGTGTTGTTTCGTTCTAACATTGATGAAAAAAACATCGATTGCTGACCCTGGCCACCATCTGCGTAAAGTTTGCACATTCTTTCTCCATGCCCTCATGGGTTGCCTCCGGGTACTCCTGTTTCCTCCACATCCTAAAGACGTAACCATTAGGTGCATCAGCCTGTCTACGTGGCCCCAGCGTGAGTGGTGCGTGTGTACGTACGCGCGTGCTTACATGCCAAATAGTTGTCTTTGCTGCAGGAATTTTCTGAGCCTTTACTATGTTAGTATGACTTGTAATCAAGTTACTTCACCTCAACTATCTTCAATTTTCTGTGGCTTCGAGCAGCTATCCTCTTTGATTTCCAGTGCTGTCCTTTCTTCTGAAGACCCTTGGAAGCCCCCCAAGCTGTTATTCATAATGTCAGACCCAGAGAGGGTAGAGAGAGCTCTGCAATCAGAGAGAGAGTCCCGGGTTGAGCTGAGCTGTTCTCCAGGAAATGATTTTCACTCGTCTCATGCCGAGAGGAAATCGGGGTTGGGGGTGAGGGGTGGGCAGCAGCTTACAGAGGAGCACATTGATTAGTTGGCCAAGGGGCCTGGGGAGTCCGTGTGGGGGCTGTGGTCATGGGGGTTCACTGGGGTCTTCAGAGGTGGGATGGTAGCACCCTGGACAACTTCTTTTCTTCCAGGATCTTCCCAAAGAGCTTGGCTGCTTCCAGGGCACAGCCCCAGTGGATGGTGAGCCCGTAGCCTCCATGGCCGTAGTTGTGGATGACCTAGGAAAGAGTGAAGGTGGCCAGGTCTGGGCCGGACAGAGGAAAAGGCAGGGGAAGTTTTTCTGCCCTGGACAATTCGGGAGCTTCTCAAAGAGTCCTGTGCAAAGCCAGGAGCTTCTGAGCTTCTGTTAGCACCCAGGTGGGGTGACGGAAACCCTCAGAATACTCTTAGACTTTCTTACAGATGATGGGGTGGCCACCAAATGGACATGTTGGAAATAGCCCTGGAGTCAAATCCAAATCACATCCCAGCCCCCACCCCAACACCAGTGGTCTGACTTAGGCAAGTGACTTCACCTCTTAGAGCCAAGTTTCCTCATCTGAAGCGTGGGAAGAACTGTCCCTATCCCAGAGAGCTGAAGGAGTTATTCAATAAGTTCATCTGTGTCATAGGCTTGCTGCTGTGCTGCCTCCAAATAGATGTCCAGTAAGTATCCATTTCCTTCTACTGGACCACAGACTTTACCACACCAAGGCACTGCCTTCCATGTAACCTTGAGCAGGCCCCTTACCATCACTGAGACTCAGTTTCCTCATTTTGAGAGAAGAGGATGCTAGCTACCACTGCTCCTGCCTGCCAAGGAGGTCATGTGGAGCCTGAGGTCAGGACTGTTCTCTGGAAATGCCAGAACCATCGTAGGAGTCAAGGAGAGCATTGCTTTCCTTGTCAGGAGAGCATACCTCTGTGTTTGAAGGTCCAATGCGAAGTTGTTCTCTTTCTAGCCGAATCTGGGGGCGTACTGGCCTCAAGCCAGTAAATTCACTAACAATTCTTGCATCCTAGAAAGAAAAGTGCTGGTAACTCATGACTGATTTTTTTTTTCCCCTGCTGCCATTTTTAGGGGTTGGGAATTACCATTGCCACCAACACCAACAACATCACAGCCACCTTGATTAATCACCACTGCCACCATGTTCGTTAGCTACCAACATCATTGCCATCACTACTACCACCCACCACCAACCCTATCCACTACTCTCATCTTCATCAACCACCACCATAATATTATCAATGTCACCACCTCATCACCATCCATATCACTATTCTAAACATTTTCATCACCATCAACACCAACCACCACTTCCACCCCTACCGTCACTATTGTCACCAATGCTAGCAGGCAAATGTGAAAACTGAGATCTCCCAACAAGTGCATGTGCTCCTCATGAAGACAGGCTAAGTTGTTTTGAGGATGTCACCTCAGGAGGGAACAACCTTTAGCCAGAGCCAGAGAGGTTTCATTAGCCCATGGTGAGGACTTTCCTATACCTTGTCAAACTCTGGTATATTCCCTTGCTGGAATCAATTTGTCCTGTTGTCCCAGTGGTGGTATCTTTCCATCCCCAAGTCCTCATTTGTAACCAAGCTGCTAGGACCCTGGTCTAGGACATTGGTACCCCTCCACACCTTACTTTACCTTTAACGTGGGGTCCAGTCTGCAGCAGCCTTCCCAAATGGTGTTGTGGTCCTGGATATTGTTTAGTTCACTCCAATTCCCGAGCTGGAAGATGCCTCCAAGAGTAGTTGTCCGGGCCCTAGATAAAAATAAAGCGTG